GAAATGCACCTTTAAAGGTCATCCAGTCCAATCCCCCTGCAATAAGCAGTGACGTCTTAACCTAGAGACCAGGATGCTCAGAGCCCCATCCAATGAATTCTCCCACGGATGGAACATCCCTTACTTCTCTGGGCAACCTGTTTCAGTGGTTCACCACCCTCATCATAAAAAAATTTCTTTTGTATCTACTCTAAACCCACCCTCCTTTAGCTCAAAAGTTACTCATGGCTGTCGTATTTCTCTTTTGCTTTTCTAGACATTCTCACACTAAAAGCAACTTGCTCTTAATTTATCCTTCTAAAACAATGTGGATATTTTAATTCAGTATGTCAAGGAAACCAGAGTGGAAGACATCAAGTCAAAACCCAAAGAAATGTTCTTATTGTAAAATAGCTGTGCAAGTCCAGAAAAAGTTTTTGGAGAGCAGATTGGAGCAACATTGCTTTTGCTGTTGTTCCTGTTTGTTTGGGTTTTTTCCTATGGTACACAGCAGGTTGTTGTTCAGGGTCTCAAGAAAACCCAAATTCACTTAGATCAAAAAAAAAACCAACCTACAGTAAGATTTCTGTTCCACAGAGATTTTGTCAAACCTGATTTGCAATAAGCCACTGCTAATTCAAAGCTTACAATGCAGGTTTACTTAACTTACTTAAAGGTATTATAGAATTTGCTATTCACTTATTTTCTCAGTGTAGTCTACCTCTAATCTTCTAGTACTCATCACTCCTTTGCAAACAGTGAGATTCACCAATATACTCACCCTGCTCTCTAAATGGTTTTCCCTCAAAGCTGCCTTCCTTAACAATAAACAAGCATAATAACATAAAATGAGATAGTTCCTGCATACATAACATGCATTGTTGGAATTCTTGGGGCTACTAACAGTTCATCAATGAAGATTAATAGCTGTTTTACTATTATATTCTGTTTTTCTAGAATACAATTTCTTCTTTCATCCAAGTGCAGCAATAAATGGGGCAGATGTCAACTTATTACTGAAACTGTTAGAGTTCATTTATCTCAAGACATAAAAGAAAAAAAAATAGCTTGATTCTCTTTCTAGAACCTATAAAATCAGGAGGCACCATACTCAACTCAGCTGAGCTTCACTAAGTATAAAGGAGGGAGAAGGACAAGGAAAACTGGGCCAGATAACACTTATATGTGTCAGTTCTTTTGGTGTTTGAATAATTAATACATGTTTTGATAAAAATAATTATGACATTAAACAACAACGTACAGTTATTGTCTGTTATCTTGAAAATATGTCTATAAAGCACCCACAGTATCTACAGCTGATGAAGTACAGGAAAAAAGGTGTCTCTCCAAATACAAAAATTTCTAAATACAAATTCCAAAAATATAAAAAATAAGAGGCCAATCAAAAGGACTAACTAGCAGATATATTTCTACCTAGCATTTTCTAAAAGCACTAGAGAAAAAGAGGCTTTCCAGTAGAACTTGCAGAAGACAGAAAAGATATATATGCTTTGACAGGAGAGGAGAGCACAATGTACTTGCACACACAATTTGATTAGCAACTGATTGCATTATGATTTGATTTTTTCAACTATTATTTCAACTCCAACAGTGCCCAAAAGCTTTGAACCAGGCAGACATTATGCAGCATAAAACCAGCAAAGTCCAACACAGATTCCTGCTCAGAAGCTGTGACAGGGTAGACTGAGAGATTGAGTACAACTTTCAGTCTGTCTAGGCCATTTTTAAGATATCCTAGACTTTAGTACTGAACAAGCACGTGAGACAACAGAGAAGAGAAGAGAAAACATCTTCTCTAATGGAGAAATGAGGCCTGCAGAACTTCATGGCCTAAAGCCAAAGTCACAATTTAAGCCAAGTGGCCCAGACCTCCTGACAGCTCACCACAAGCCCAGTGCCTCTGCTGCCCAGCAGATCACAGCAAAGCTTTGTGGCTCAGCAGGAGCTGCAGCCAGGGTGAAGGACACGGCATCAATGACATGAGCTGTGGATACTGAGCACAGGCATCTCTTGGACAAGCTCTCCCAAAAAAGCTCACAACACACTGAAGCAGAGAGTATTCCTCTGAGAAGTGCTGAACTTAACACCAGCAGGAGAAAGACTGCAGAAAACTGAATTGCTAAAGATAAATTAGACACTCTAGCCAAAAGAAAACAGAGCTGACAACAACAACAGATGGGAAGAGGAGGGAAGGAGAACAGGAACACAGCAAGAAGACATGAACCATAAGGAAAAAAGCATTCTAGTCTGTGGGAGGACCTAGGTAGCCAGTTAATTACTCATTAAGGTTAGTAGCTATTTATTATTATTCTAAATACTTAAGTGAAGCCATTTCAGTAGTGCCCAGGTGCACTTACATAAGGCAGATGATAAACAGACACCTCAGGTGTTTACTGATAGCTGAACCTTACATGTCATTGACAAACTAACAGAGTCAATTATTTAGTATGAAATTTTATGGAGGAAAAGAAATGTTTTATATGGAACATAATTTAGATAGAGGGCCAATTGTTTTACTTGAAGCAGAAAAGCAAGCTCCAGAATTTATTACCACTTTAACCCCCTTTTTTTTTCAGCTAGCAACCAAGGAATATTGTATGAATATTTTAGAAAGGATTCTAGAAACTGAATTCAAGCCATGCTACTGCCAATCACTTCATTTGCAAATCAGGTAAAAAATACACAGAAAGATATGCAAAGTTTAGTCTTTAAAATGGTCTTTATAATTTTTCCCTACCAACTAGCATGATGTCAGAATACTGTTACCATGGTAAAGTGAAGAGAAGCAGTTAGCTACTGCTTTGCTGGGCTCCTTCTGACTACTTACAGATCAGCCGTAGATGCAGGATAAACTATGACCAGATTTTGATACATTAATAATTCAAAAAACATAATTCAGTTATTATCATGTAGAAAGTAGTTTCAAACAATTCTTCTTTCCCCAACTGCTCTCCCATGCCCCAGTATGTACAACAAGGCTTTTCAGCAGAACACAGATCAACAGCATTAATCTCTGAATTCAAGAAGCCTTTTGCAGATGTTGAATTCTACATGTGTAAGTAATCCCACAGCAATCCACACATGTTCTGGAACAGCACTACACATGTGTCCCAAAAGAGCCCACTGAAAATAAATAGCATCCAGCTACCAAAGCAGTCATCCTCTGAAACTTAAAAGGTTCATTTGCAGCATTATGCCCTAATAGCCTACCAATTAGGTCTCCTTTTAAATGCCTGTGGATATTTCCTCAAAGAAATGTCCTAACTTAGGGATTGAGAATGTATGTATGAATTTGCACCATACATGTTGACTAAAATAAAGATAACTAATTTTTGACATTCATTTCACCTGAAGAATTCTTTCCTGGTGCTACACAATATTCAATGTGCCCAAACCTCCAAACATAAAGAAAACATGACTCATAATCATGGCTCACATTATTACCTTTTTTTTTAAAAAAAAAAATCATGCCGCAGAACCTTATTTCAATTCATTCTCAGTATCACAACAATAGAATTTGCAGGAAGGGAAACCATGGTAACCAATTAAATGTGCTACAGCAGCTATCTGCTCAAAAGAACATGCAGTACCATCACACTTCAACGCCTACCACTAGTACACTCTCTACCCATTTCCTCTTTATCCTCATCCTAATTATTAAACAAGCTCTCCACCATAGAAGGCTACATTGCAAACCATGTCTATTGTCACTGTCATTTGCTATAGGTCTTAACATTAAGCAATGTACTACTCTTTTGCCAAATGTAAAAGCAGATCTAATAGCTCCAGAAGTGAATGAAGTGAATTAGGAATTTTCATTATTTCAAATCTGCTTGGAACATTGAATTAACATTACAATGTATTTTGTATCTTTTTATTCTAACAGAGACTTGCTGATATGTATGGACACAAAAATATATCTATGATTGTTTTCTCATGTTAGCAATTTTTTTAAACCTCAAGATTGCAAAACATTTTCAGTGGCATTCTCTGATTGATTAATTAATTAGTAAAGATTGGTGAATGCATCCATGATTAAGTACAGGCATTAAATATAGTAGGGTGCTGATTTGCTGCTCTCAGTTGTTTTTATGCTTCATTCTCCTTTACATGGTATCTGAGCTGACACAATTTTACAGGCCTTCTTAGGCTCTGAACATCAATTTTATTTGAAGGACAGCTCTGACTATTTAGCCAAACTTCTATATTTCAAAGAACATTTAAATTATAATTTTCTTTTTCTTTAAGAACATACTTCTATCTCTCTTACAAATGCTGAAAAAAATTCTGAAAAAAACCCACCATCTTTTGTTTCAAATTTATATTTAAAAGGTAGTCTGCCTTTAAAAAAGTCATGATGCAAATTAATTGCACAATAATGGATGAAAGTAGACAAAAATAGCTCATCATAAGACGATCAAAATGCAGCTTGTTATATAAGTGGAAAGCAGATTTTACAGTAACTCAACAGCAACTTTAAAAAAATGAAAAGTTTTTTTGGGTAAGAGTCACTTTCCCTACCTTACTCAATTAACTATTCCACAGTATTGCACTAAGAACAGCTGACCTCTTTGCTTAAGCTTGCAAAAAGTATTATTTTTTCCTGTCCTATATTTGGTCATTTAAGTGGTACTAGGCTATGTCTGTAGCTATAGCAGCTCAGGAACAAGATCTTTAGATCTGCTAAAGCTAGTTCCATAAAAGCACCACAGCCTAATGCTTCACAGTGGTCAAAAACTCATTTAGAAGGCTTTAGAGAACAAAGAACTAAAACATGTGGTGCAGCTTATCTTGAACAGGATGTGCAGTCCTGGCTGGTATGGACACTGAGATTTTGGACATCAGCTACAATAGCTGGTGGAACCAAATGTAACACTGAAAGTGTCCCATGATGATTTGAGGAATTGTCTGGCTTGGGTCCTCAGGACAAATCACAAAGAGCTTGTTCTTCTCGTTTCAGAAAAGATGGCTGGAAACATTCCATTACAGAGACATCATACCTTGCCACAGAAGGGACATGATCCTGTTTCACTACACTGCTCTTCACGACTGGATGCACTGGGTTTTTCAGCATTCCCAGGCACGCTGGCACAAGCACAGGAAGAAGACATCTGCCAGAGCTGGACGTGCTGGGCCGTCTGTCTCACTGAATTGCCTGCCTCCCCAGCAGAGCCATCGGCAGCTACAAGCCAGGAAACAAACCTGTCTCAGTCTCAACATCAGCTGCTCCTACCCAGAGCTACCACAAGGCTTTTATGTCTCCATGAACTGGGATTTCATGATGCAATCACACTTCATAGGCAGTTTCCAATTTGCCCTAGCCAGAATTGACAGACTGTCAAAGACTGACACATCAGACAACAAACAGTGAGAGAGATTGAGTAGATACACAGAAATACTGAGGGAACCAAGTATTTATGCCAAGAGTTGATAGTACCTTCAAGAATCCAAATTTTACTGAACTTTTTTCCATTTTTTACCAAAATGTGCCTAAAAACCAATCAGAAAACAAGGATATTTCATTTTATGTTTTGTCACTATGTTATTGCAGAATTAGAGCACCTCTAGAGAATTGTTGGGTTAACTTCATAAAATTACTGGAATCTATTCTGTGTCTGTTTTTTTATGTAACAGCTGACCAAGTTTTCTTTCCTCCCATACCTTCTAAAGTGTAAAACAAAGGTAAAGAAGGAAAAGCAAAAATCACACTGAAGTGACCTTAAAGTTAACATGGCTGCTTCAGAGACAGAGTGGCACTTAAACCTAGTATGAAAATACCAAATTTGATCATACAACCAGAAGAGAAAGGGTGAAATTAGAGACCCTGCACTCAATCAAAGCTTTCTGTTGAACTTGGAAAAGTTTTGCTCATACATACCATCCTACTGACAAGCTCTGGTTTTGGCCATGGAAATTACATTCTTAAATTCCTGCTGGGAATATCTAAACTGCAGATGGGGCTATCTTTGTCATCTGGCAGTGTAGTGACCCAAACACAAGTGATGCTCTCAGAAAATGACAGAACTACATAAACTCATCATGGCAATCACAGCAAACTTCTCACAGTCAGGAAGCACAGGGAGACTGCAGAAAGGACCTAGACTTGAAGAGAGGGTACAATGTCAGAAACACAGTCAGTGGGCATTTTGGCCAATGGTCATATTCTGCATTTATAATTCCAGGGAGAGGAAAAATAAAACCTGAGAAAAACTCTCCCTCCAGTCAATGGAAAAGGAGACTCCTGCTACACTGCCTAGTAGTGATAAAAATAAATCCTAGTGGTAAAATGCCAATGTGTGGAAGATAGAGCACGACAGTTCACAGAGTTCCACCTAAGATATGAGACTTAACACCCTCATTCACACACTTGGAAGGCCTAAACCCACTGCCCATGATACACAAGTCATTTACCACTTAAACATCATGAAATGACTGCAAGATGCTGCAGTTTCAGTTTCTGATGTGTTTTCCCCAACACTGAACTTCATCAAAATAAATCAATGATAACAACTTTGCTATAATTTGAAACCTCTTCCCAAACTGATCACTAACAACTTTTCTCTATTTGGTATAAAATTGATTCTATTGTTTTCAAAGGGGTTTTCCAGTGTGAGAGATACCATCAAACCTGGGAAAAAAGCCACCTTTTGATGGACTGGAGGTGCATTTGAAAAACAGCCTGTAGCAGCACATCATAGAAGATGCTCAGCAGTTTCAGACTAGCCTACAGGCCCTGTGTCTTCTGCACCATTGGAAGCAGGGAGTGGGAGCTCTGCCTTCAAGCCAGGTGTTACAAAAACTGATTTCTTTGTAGCTTTAAAAGAATATTGTAAGAGCAGAAGATGATGAAATTGAGAACTATTTTAATAAGAAATACCAAAATTACACTGTTAATGAAATTCAGTGTAAATGTCACTAATGTTTCTCTTTGAAATCTTATTACTACAGAAACAAATATCCTATGAAAATATACACTTTTTTTCCCCTGAAAAATTAATTCATCACAACCTATTATTTCAAGACATTAGTATTTTAATAATAATCTTATCTTACCCATATAAAACTTTCAGTAACTGCATCTTCTCCTTCAATGTTTGTTGTCCCATTTAGATTTACAACATTGCTAATAATCACTACTTCCCATCTGAGTACTCAGGTGTACAGTACAGGCCAAAATAATCTCCAATGTCTTAAAAGTAATGAAGCTATTTAAACCTTACAACTACTTTTTTGAGTTTTTTATTTACAGCTGACCCGCTTGCCAGAACTTTGAGGAATGAAGAAGTAGATCTGCAAGCACTGTTAGCTAACAGGTGTTCAGACAAAAAAAGGCCTCCATCCCATGGAGAGACTAGGGAGGACTAAGTGTTCTTCAGCTGCCTGGTCAGTACATGGCAGACTAATCAGGCAACTCATAATGTGCCTTTTATTTCTTGATCACCTGCTCTCCCAACATCTCCATGGGGTCACAACTGTATCATAGTGGGAAAAGGGCAAAATGAAGCCCCACCAGAAAAACCACAATTGCTGCTATCCTGATGGTGCAAACAATATGGAATGTTAGCACTTCAAAAAAGGGCATGAAAGGTCAAAGATACCAAATCTGTAACTAGGGTAAAAAAGTATAATGATGAAAAAGAAATTAAAACAATTACAAAGAATTTTATGATCTGAGGTCAGCAACACAGTAAAACCATTTGAATATTTTATAAATTTAAAAATGAAATATTAATTACTGACCTTAATGCCAAAGTGTAGGTTCCAGGTTGCCTTTGGCTTTCACGAATGAGATAGCTTCCCTCTGCAACACTTAATAATTGGTCAGCTTCCTCCCTTGAGATCATCCCATGGAATCTAAGGAACAAAGAGTTTTTTAAACACATGCCTCTTCTCTTTTAAATCACCTTTTGGTCTTCATTTAAAAAGCACCAACAATAGTAATTAAAAAAGAAACAAACATAAAAATGACTGATTTCCAGAAATCTACAGTTTGAATAAACTCCCCTTTCTGCCTGTATTTGAAGGTACTTCAAATGGTTTAGAAAAGCTTCTAGGAAAGAATATCTATGAAACAAGTATATTGTTTTTAAATCTGCATTTATCAATTTAATGTGTAGAAATAAATCTGTTTTCTCCTGCTGGCTTCACATGTTTTGTGCTAGTGGCATGCAATCAAACATTTTTAAGCATTCGAGGATATTTTATGTGATCCCTGAGATTTTAGCAAGTTGCTGTAATCTCAGTAATTGCTGATGCAATAACCCAGTAACACCACACATCTTTTACCAAAATAAACATAAGTAAGATCTTCTTTGTTTCTCCACACTAATTCTAACCATCTCTGCATTAGCAGCCTGAAACAGAAGACACATAGAGACTGATCATATATTGCATTTGGGATCCAAATATCTTTTCTTCCTAAACAGAAACACATTTTGCAAAGCCAACAGGAGAGTGGGGTAGAAAAAGACAATCCCTTGAAAGTACAGAAATATATGTATGTTTTTCTCAAAGTAGCACTCAGTGATATCCATGTCCATCAGAAACTGCAGCTGTAATTTTAGGCAGACAAAAGTGAAGGCAGTGCAATAATGCTCTGATGCTGAGACACTGCTGTAAAACACGGAGAAGAAACAAAGAGCACAGAGTAAGCACTTAACACCTTTTCTGTAACTGCTATTAACCAATACGTCAGGATAAACCACTATCAGAGATGTCTGTTACTTACTCTCTTCCATAATATTTGGGTCTGTTCTCTACCTAGAAGAAACAACAGAAATTGTAATGTTTCATAACAAGAGAAGCTATACAGTAAGTGGACTGTTTACAATATAGTATTAAAACCAGAAAGGGATATTATGTGAAAGTGCTGGCAAAAATAATCTAGAATAGAATTTCTTCTGTGATTAAAACATAGGGAAACCAAAGGGAGACCTTCAGAAAACAATGCACTTGTAAATGGCTTAAAATGGAGTGAGAAAGGATGAGCCACTTGGATCATGTAATCCTCAGGATTCTGCATATACAAACTGATGGCATTAAATATTGCTTTTACAAAGTGCCAGATAGGGGAAATGAGTTTGCACTTCATGCATGTAAGTGCACCATATTGCTGAGTGCACTAATACAATGAAACATCTATAAAACTCTTAAATTTACAGGTTGCCTTCCATCACAGACCTGTTGGTGCCCTGCTGAAATAAAGCCACTACTATACAGCCCCTCAGAGTGAGGGCAAATGGTTGAGTAAATTCACCAAGTGCCTAAGTCTTGTGCTTCTTGACTTCACTAAACTGTGTGATCTGCAGTATCACCTGAAAGACTTCAGAAGCAGGTGTGCATGTGTTATGTAGTGTAACTCCACCTTGCTGTGCCCCAGAGACCTCATGGTGTAAATGCACACAATATGCAGGGCTGTCAGGGTACAAGTTGCCTGATAATTATTTTAGATGAAGTAATGCATCTTCCTTTGTACAAGAAGTTTAGAGCCAAGTGAGGAACAGCATATCCCACAGAAATCAGCTAATAATCTAAACCACCAGGTTATCCTTTCTTGCTAAATTTAAAGGGCGAAACTCTTTGGGGAGTAAAAGTCAACAGTTATACAACTTGAACTACAGAAGTAGAAAACAATCCAGCTATGCTGAAACCTGGAATGCCACATTAGTTTCTTTTTTCCATCTTTTCAACAAAAAAGCCTATTAATAATATTAGTGCTTGTCTCCAGTTTTCAGTGGAGTATAAAGATTTCAGATATCCAAAACAACAAAAAACAACATACATCCTGATGTAGTGTTTAATAACAATTCTTCAACATTCCCAGCAAATAAAAAGCTATTGTAATGATTCATCACTTTGGAAAAAACATTCCATCGCTGGAAAGATTTATCATGTTCTAAAATATTTCCTCTTTCTTTATAACAGCAAACGAGAGTTGCCTGGTGTGATAGCTGTTTTCAAAGGGCCTAAAGAGACAGGATTATTTCAAAAAAGAAGAAAGGTCTTAGATATTTTTTGTTAAATGTAGGCTATTTCTTCAATAAGAAGATAGCAACATAAACAGAAAAAAAAATAAAGCATTTTATTTTTGTTATTATAGAAACTTGCAACACTTCTGAACTAAAACCCTTAAGCCAAGACACTAGTTTAGGG